AAAATATCGTTGTTTTATTAATTGAAACATTGATTGTTGATGTAGATATGCAAGTCTCCTCCTGTATTGTAAAATATCGTTGTTTTATTAATTGAAACATTGATTGTTGATGTAGATATGCAAGTCTCCTCCTGTATTGTAAAATACTGTTGTTTTATTAATTGAAACATTGATTGTTGATGTAGATATGCAAGTCTCCTCCTGTATTGTAAAATACTGTTGTTTTATTAATTGAAACATTGATTGTTGATGTAGATATGTAAGTCTCCTCCTGTATTGTAAAAGTGAATTAGAGATATGGCACGTGCCCTAAAATGAAAGTATCCATATCTGACGTATCAGTTTAACATAAAAATACGATACCCTATAACCCGAGCGCTTTCGAAAGGTGGACTTTTCTTCTTCAGTTGTAAACTTTTGAAAGCGCTTGAGTTGTAGAGTATCGTATTTTTTTTTGTGTTAAAATGATTTCTTAAACCTACGTGTTTTTAACATCATAGCTGTTGTATCAGAGAACCAGAACCTTGGTTGTACGAATTAAAAACCTAAGATGAAATTGGAGAGAAATCATTGTATCTAAGGCGAACAGTTACCAAACAAACATAAGCAGCATATTCTTCATAAAAAACTTAAAGAACATTTTAAGATAGAAAACCAGAAAAGTCTGAAATAAAGCTATTTTAACAGCAGAAAAAGTCTGAAATAAAACTACTGTAATACCAGAAAGTCTGAAATAAAACAACTTTAATACCGGAAAAGGTCTTAAAGTCTGAAATAAAACTATTTTATTACCAGAAAAAGTCTGAAATAAACCTTCTTTATGACTAGAAAAGTCTGAAATAAATCTCTTTAAGTCTAGAAAAAGCTTGAAATAAACCTACTTTGGAACCAAAAAATGTCTGAAATAAACGTGTTTCAAGGCAAGAAAATTCTGAAATAAAACTACTTTAAGGCACTTAATCTCTGAGCAGCAAAAACGTTATTATGAAGGAGAAATATGTTGAGATAGAAGTTTCCAGTCATATTTTATTAACGCCTTGTACCGAACAGCTTCAAGAAGTATTTAATGGAGTTCAAAATCTATTAGCAAGGTACTCACATAAGCCAATCGTTACATTTTTGGAAAGAAATGTTTAGAAGAATATATATCTCACATGTAGGTACAGATAAAATTTAAAAAGCATGTATTAAGTATCTGTGGAAACAATATCAGAATTAAAACAGGGTCATCTACGATATAATTGTGCAAATTTAATGTTAGCTTCATATTTTCAGTAACTCTAGGATTTAAACTCCCCGAAACCATAATTGTATCTAGTTTCCTAATAAAACAACAGTAAAATTAACACCAAGGCTCCCCTGAACACTTAAACCGTCACGGGGTATTTACACCAAGGCTCCCCTGAACACTTAAACCGTCACGTGACTCTTGTCATTCAGAAGGTGAACGCTATTCTGCACCAGTAATCCGCTTCTGTATCCACAACACAATATATAATGTGAGAACCTTTAGCGTTGTTGTTACTGCGGCCGAACACCCAGCAGTCTAGTAAAGGTTACTTCAGGCTTGACCGACAACCCGAATAATCTACTTTTTCAGATGGCTGGGCTCGTGTTTTGTAAAAATCAGGTCTTCTTACGTCAGTTGTGTCAAAGTTTCTACATTGTGTTGGGAAAACGCTTTTTATAAACTTAAAATATAAAACAGTTCAAATGGCTCAAGGGAATTCAAGATAAGAGGCTTATATAAAAGTCTTGTAAATCAAGCGGTCGTTCAGTTTGCGTACAGCAGCAGAAGTAAAGTCGATCTTCAAGCACAATGACCACGGTAACGTTCATCACATATAGTTAATCTTAGTCGATAGTTGATTAGCTGACAACAATAATCAGTCTAAATATTTATATTCTAGTCCTAGTCGAACTGGTGTGATACCTGGTTAGATTCCATGATTCAAGCTGGACAGGTAGTAGCTTTAAAACAATAATAATCAGGTTAAATATGTATATTATAGTTGTAGTCGAACTGGTGCGATAAGTGGTTAGATTCATGATTCAAGCTGGACAGGTAGTAGCTTTAAGACAACAATAATCAGTCTAAATATTTATATTCTAGTTGTAGTCGAACTGGTGTGATACCTGGTTAGATTCCATGATTCAAGCTGGACAGGTAGTAGCTTTAAAACAACAATAATCAGTCTAAATATTTATATTCTAGTCCTAGTCGAACTGGTGTGATAAGTGGTTAGATTTCATGATTCAAGTTGGACAGGTAGTAGCTTTAAAACAATAATAATCAGGTTAAATATGTATATTATAGTTGTAGTCGAACTGGTGTGATACATGGTTAGATTTAATG